TGTTTTTAAGTATCAAAGGCTATTAATGATTGCACAAGTACTGGGACATCCCTGTAAAAACAATTGGGGAATCTGTCTAATAATTTTCTGTGCATATATCAAAATTAGGGATCCGCTTTGCAGCTTTTGACCCGACCCGATTCAATTCGGGTTTTTTCATGTCTCTGCTGCCAGTAATCTCCTGAAATTCACTTTTCTTCATGAAGCCTTTTTGTTTATTCTTGTTAAATCAATCTTCTTTAATCTTGGAATCATGTTTTTGCATTGATATGTAAATTCTTTTGTTTTCATATGTTTAGAATTTTATTGGTATATTAGTAGATTTTGTTATAATCCACAGAATGGATTTCGTTTGATAAATTTTTTTCGTATACATAGTTAATATTTACTGGCATCTATCGAAATTTAATAGTCACCAAAAAAGTTCTAATTAGACATCAAACTTTTTTGTCCAAAAAAAAAAGACATCAAACTTTAAATTGTGGAAAAAAATGTATACAAGACATTTTAAAGATTTGTAAAATTAATTTATAACCGTTAAACATTTGGCGAGGACGTTGCGAGATTTAAGGGCAGAATTTTACACTGCCAATTGGATTTACAGGTTACAATAAGTAACAACTTCCTCTAAAATTCATGTTTCTAGAGTAATATTTTCTTTAAGAAATGTTTAAATCAATTAATCACAAACCATTAAGATCATTAAGAAAACAAATTAAACAACACGCTTACGATTATGTTCTCATCAATCTCGTAATATTGAAGGCCAGAAGGCCCAGAACCTTGAAACTCGTCTTCTGCTAACGACTCAAGTCTAAGTGTCTCTCAATCCTCCAGTCTCCATTTCTAAAGAAAGCATTAGTTTGCATCATCCAATTTTTGTTTTCTATTAGCTTCCAAATTACTCCCGACTCTCAAAACAAAACAACCTTACGATCTCCTCTACAACATTTTCTCTACATTCTTCTTCAGTGAAACAACATCCCAAGAACTTAATCATTCGCTTCAACTCAACTCCAATCTGGTTCTTGAGTGCCTTTACGTAACAAAAAAGGAACTTCTCAGTGTTCTCTTTGCTCGCATACCAATATCTCAACAACGCTCCCAAAATGGTCCGTCCACCTATAAACTTCCCTTTACAAACACTTCGACCACATCTTCAATGGGATAATCTGTGGTTTCTTGAGCCGCAAGTTTCTTTTCAAAGTGTCCTAGGGAAATATACACAAGACTTGTCACGAGCTTTTTTAGGGTATAAATACTACTCTTGACTTATTGAATAGTTAAGACATTACGAACTGGTCCTTATAGGGTTCCTGCAACAACACAAAATCTTACAAGACGAGCTCTTAACATGTGAGATGCGCCTGCTCAGGAGTCTTGAAGAAGGCAGATCCTTGGGGAAATGTATTTTTTTGCAGTAAAATCCCTCAAAGAAATGCATGGGAAGATACGGATTGCAAACACAGAGAGGATGATAACCACTTTACCAGAAGAAACAAAAAAAATAATGTGTGATTAAAAATTAGAAAAATTAATGTAGGCTTTTCCTACCAAATATTTATTAGGAATCATATTCTTCCAAATTTTTACACATTTGTTACGAAATATATATTTGATAGGAAATTCGAATGAAATCTTCTACGACAAAAGTCGGAAGAAGTTTGTAGGAACTTTCCTACGAAAATCCTATGAAAACAAATGTCGTAGGAAAGTGGAATGAAAGGCAAAGAAAAAAATTGGTAAGCAATTCAAAGGTATATTTCCTTCCAGTTTCCTACGATCAGACCTTCGTAGGAAACCGCGTAGGAAATGCGAAGGAAAGTTATGGAGAAATAATTAGTAGGAAAATCGTAGGATCAGCGTAGAGATTTTTATTAACACGTTTGTAGTTCGGTAGGTGGTGTGACAAGTAGGTAAAGAACGTGTTGATTATTAGGTTGGTGTAATAGTATATATTTTGGTAGGAAATTTGTAGGAAAACTGTAGAAAACGTCTATTTCCTTCCAATCTCCTACGATTTTGGCCGTAGGAAAACACTGCATTTCTTGTAGTTATATATTCCAGAAATATCATATATATGTTTAGTTCCAGAAATATTTGTAGATATAGACATTAGCATAATTAGTTTATGAATTCAGTTATTCTCATTGTGATTGCGAAAATGCCAATTGAAGTACTGCTTTGAAAGGGTATTCTTAAATCAAAGTAAAGAGAATGTATCAAGTAACATATTTGGTGCTCATAAATTTTTAGCCTTGCTATTAGTTGTTTTGATTCGCTCTTGATTTTTTGGCAACCAAGAACTATGACACCTTAAACATCTATGTTCGTAGTACAATGTTTTTTAAGAAAATATAAAATAAGATAATTCTTTTTCCTTGTAAGTTATCTTTTGTATAGATACAGACCTCAAGGTCACGTAATAAACATATTGACGGTTATTTTTTTGTTGACGGTTATTTTCAGTTGTGTCTTTTTATCGCAACTTTCCGATAAAATATCGGCGGTTACTTTTTTCGTTTGTGTCTTTTTATCGCAAATTTCGTTAAAATATTGACGCTTATTTTTTCTCGGTTGTGGTTTTTATCGTAACTTTCTGTTATAATATTGACGGTTATTTTTTCTCGGTTGCATCTTTTTATCGCAACTCTTCGTTAAAATATTGATGGTTATTTTTTCTCAGTTGTGTCTTTTTATCGCAACTTTTCGTTAAAATATTGACGGTTACCTTTTTTGCTGACGGATATTTTTTCGGTTGTTTCTTTCTATCGTAACTATCGGTTAAAATATTGATGGTTACTTTTTTCGGTTGTATCTTTTTATCGTAACTTTCCGTAAAAATATGAACGGTTATTTTTTCGCGGTTATGCCTTTTTATCGCAACTTTCCGTTAAAATTTTGACAGTTATTTTTTCTCGGTGGTGCCTTTTTATCGCAAATTTTCGTTAAGATATTGAAAGTTACTTTTTTGTTGACGGTTATTTTTCGGTTGTGTCTTTTTATTGCAACTTTTCGATAAAATAGTGGCGGTTAATGTTTTCGTTTGTGTCTTTTTATCGCTATTTTTTGTTAAAATATTGAGAGTTATTTTTTCTCGGTTGTGTTTTTTTACCGCAACTCTTCGTTAAAATATTAACGGTTACTTTTTTTTGTTGACGGTTATTTTATCGGTTGTGTTTTTTTTATCGCGACTTTCCGTTAAAAAAATTGACGGTTACTTTTTTTGTTTTTGTCTTTTCATCGCAACTCTTCGTTAAAATATTCACGGTTACTTTTTTCGTTGATGGTTATTTTTTTGGTTATGTCTTTTTATCGTAATTTTCCGTTAAAATATTGACGGTTACTATTTTCGTTTGTGTCTTTTTTTATCGCAACTTTTCGTTAAAATATTGACAGTTATTTTTTCTCGGTTGTGTCTTTTTATCGCAACTCTTCGTTAAAATATTGACGGTTGGTTTTTTGTTGACGGTTATTTTTTCGGTTGTGTCTTTTTATTGCAACTTTCCGTTAAAATGTTGACGGTTATTTTTTATGTTTGTGTCTTTTTATCGCAACTTTCTGTTAAAATATTGACGGTTATTTTTTCTAAGTTGTGTTTTTTTATCGCATTTTTTCGTTAAAATATTGACGGTTATTTTTTTGGGACAGTTCTATTTGTTCATTTATAGTCATATTTTTTCAGTTTACGGTTGTGTCTTTATAGTTGCATCTATTCATTTAAATACGTCTCTTCACTATATTTCATTGCCTTTTTTTGTCACAACTTTTTCTATGAATAGTTGTGTATTTAAATGTTCATGACTTTTGAACTCTATATATTTGTCCTTCTTCCTAAGTAGTTCCCAAATTTTTGTTTTCTAACATAGATTATTTGTTTCATGATGAATCCAGAAAAAATAATCTGTAAAATGGCTCCAAATTCTTTATTCTCTAAATTATTTCTAAACATACATCATTTTAATATTAAAGAAATTTTTCTCATTCTTGATCTAACCAAAGTTTTTTGGAATAATTATAAACATGGAGAAATTTTAATCAACTTTATATATATATAAAATTCTAATGAAGATAGCAACAATTTTTTTTTTAGAATTGGACGGATTATATAGTGAATTTTTTTATTTAATTATTTATGGTAACAATGATGCTTTCTATCTTAAGGCAATTATATATATATAATTATATATATATATATATATATATATATATGGGTTGTATACAAGGAAATATGATATTGCGTTAACACTATTACAAAGTTCGAATATGAGAAGACATCCTCATGTGACGCTTGTGATTGGGTGTTTTAAATGTGGTAAGCGTCAAATGAACTGTTTCAAATGGTATAGTAATCCATTAATCATCTACATTATTAGAAAAAACAATGATTCTAATTCGTGACATGAATATTCAAGGAATAAGTTTTTTTACTCAGTTAATTTATCAATATAAATAAATTTATGAGATCTTGTAAATGTTTATTTTTTTGTTATAGATGTAATTTACGTCATCAAATTTTATATTTTCTCGAATATATAATAGAATAAATATTAATTTTATATTTAAACAACAGTGGACAAACAAAAAACATCAATTCTCGGGCGAAGTTCTTAGTCACCCACAAATCATTCTGAGTACCGATCTCCATCCGAATTTTTGGATTTTGACCCCCTAGAATTTTTTATCTCTATATTATAACTCTTCGTTATGTATTTTGTCACTTATAAATAATTTTACATTCATAAAAAATATTTCAAAAGTGTTTTTAATCATAATTCTTCTTTTTTACATTTTTATTCATAAATTATTTTCACATCTTTAGAAAATATTTATATTATAACTTTAAAACAAAGTTAATTTTATGTAATAATTCATATATTTGAATTATAAAACTAAATATACCATAATTAGTCAGATCATATCACTACTCTTTTTTTTAGTCACCACATATATCAAAGAGATCAGAACACTACGTCATTCTCTAAAAATGAAACTATTATGAAGACGTAAGAAATTGATTAATCCAAATGGTAAGTGAGTAGATTTTCACTACAATGATTCTTTTACAAAATGTTACAAGAATTTTGGTATATTCTGCTTTAGACTCTAGATTCTAAAGCAAACACATACACATAACTGTTTGACCTATATACCTCCTATTTTTTTCTCCAATACAACCAATATGCAATGTTCCAATTTCCAAAATCAGAAATTCCAAACACAATCAAGATTCACTGGGCCAGTTGAAGCAGAAGGATCGTGACCGTGCAAAGAACTCGAGGCTACTTCACTCTCCGAGGAACCAGAATTCTGAAGATTCTTCTTAAATTGGGTTTCTTCACTGTCAAGCAACATCTTCAGTATAGAAGAATTCTCTTGCAGAAACAGAGGACCATAGTCTAGTAGAGAACCAATGTTTGGTATCAAGTTAGTCGATGCAGAACCGAACATGGTAGTTTTAAAATCGTCTTTAAACTCGGCCACAAGACTCTTGTCGTCGGTTGTTTGGTCGAATAAGCAGGTCATGTTAGAAAACAACCCCAAGGTGGTTCCTGCAAAAGATTCTCGTCCTCTACTCTTTAGATATGGAGAAGAATCCATCAGCGGAGGTAAAACCGGCCGACATATGCGCCTTCGTACCATCTGCCGGTTTATGAAAAACACGACTAATAACACATTCGTTCTGTATTCACAAACAACACAAAAACTTATAATCAAGGTTTTGGCTTAAAAAAAAACTCAGCTCACAACAAAAACAGAGAACTATGATATATAGGGCCGGTCCGGAGTGCAAGCAAGTGAAACCGTCGCTTAGGGTCTCACATTATTAAATACTTTTTTTCGGGAGAAATTTTTTTTTACATTACCAAAAAGATCCAAATTTTTAGTTATGCGTAGTGCATCAAAGAAAATTTTGAAACTTTATTACCTTAGCGGGACTTTTAGGGAGATTATCGATGGCGAATTTGCCTTCTAAGCGATATTCATGCATGACCCAACTGGTTTTTACTCCTTAGGAGCTCCTTCCTTTGTAGAAAACCAAAGTTTTCTTCATACCAACAAGAGCTTTCCCTTTGAAGATCTCTTTATCTTTGCCTGTAGCTTTCCAATAACCGGCTTTAGTAGCCCGATTCGTCCTTAATACCGGTAGGGTATTTCCGGTCTCTTACGCAAAAGAAGTACCACTCTTTTTTCCCCAATCTTAGCCTCCCTAAAAAAAACAGAGTGATTAGAAGAACAAAACAGATTTTTTTAGATACCTAGAAAAGAATGACCTATAACTTACAGGCAAGTCCCAAGGCTCGACCTTGTTGAGATCAACTTACCAATAGCTATAGCAGAGAAAAAAAGAGTTTAGAACCTTGGTCTTAGATAGTGAGTTATAAGTTCTTCATCAGTTGGATGAAATCTAAAACCAGGTGGCAAATCATCTTCTCTGAATCTTCTACTTCTCCTTCTGCGGTCTCCCCAATTCTTGATACCTTGTAATCCATTTCAGCGATCAGATATTAAAAGTTTCAACTTTGGCCAAATGTTTGTTTAATGGTTGTGGAGATGAAGAAGAAGATACAGAAAGAGTTTTTTGATGTTAAAGCTCTTATACTAGTTTGTATAAGATGAGAACAAATATTATTATAGGTTTTATTCACCAATAATTGGTCATTGTTTGGTATCAAAATTATTATTTTCTAAAACTATTTAAATCCGAAGGAAAATATACAAAGTAGATAGAAATAAAAGCTATATATTAATATCTCAGTTTTAAATTACTTTGACAAAAAAAAAAAAAAATCTCAGTTTTAAATTAATAAAGTATATATATACAATCTGATGTAGACCTGAACCAACCATAACATACCATCGTTCCCAAAATATATTATAAAATTAATTTTGGTTTAATGCTATCTTTAGTTTCTATTACAAAGATGCGTAGTTCAATAGGCAACTTAAGATGTTATTAGATCACCAAAAAAAAAAAAAAACTTAAGATGTTATTTTGAAGATATTTTTCTTATTACAAACATTATTAAACCTTTCTGTTTCAAAAGCTTTAATATCTCCAAGTTCAATTTGACCAGAAACATTCACTTGTGGCTTCCCCCATCCATTCTGTTGATGCGATAAGAACAATCTTATCACATCACTGATGACGTTTTTTGTCCATTCTTTAAACTAATTATTTATATTTTCATAAGAAGAAAATATAGCAAAGTTTTTTTTTTTTGTTTAGATAAAAGTTTTTTATATGATTATTATCCATTGAAAAACATTTTTAGTTCTATATTGGGAAAGAGCTTGAGCTTTCTACAACAATACTCAGGCTTCTAACTTAAGAAAAGTACTATAACTAGAGCAACACATTGTGGCTTGGCTCCTGTCACTTGTCCAGATATAATATTACGTCTAGAGTTTAAACTCTATATCATGTACGTGTAGATTGAATTATCTCTATAACATTATGAATCGTTATAATTGTCGATCGATCTATTACATAGAAAAAAAAGAGAGAGTAGAATTTACGTTTAGATATACATGCATAAATGTACTGTTCTCTCCTCTAGACTGTTATGGGTCCTATGTCCCAAGACATCTTTAATCTATAAGGGGTTCAGTTTTTTCGCAAGCGTTGTTCGCATTTGTATCAAACTCTATCATAGATAAGTTCACAAACTAAGCAAGGATTTGAGCTCTGCGTTCTTTCCTTCCCTTTCTCTTGCGAGAAACACTAGACATTTGAAACTGTGGAATAAATTTAAACCGTCTAATTCCGGCTTAGCACTAACCGAAGACGACGACGAATAGGGAGAATAGTCAGAAACAGGATTGGCAAGTAAAAGGCTAGTCAGCTACAATGCCCAATTTTGAACAGAGAGAGGAAAGAGATGGCAGTTATTTGCACCAAGATTTACTTGATCCATCTCTTTTTTTTTTTTTTTTTTTTTTTTGCAAATCTCTCTATGAAAGTAGTAATTTTTTTTTTTAGAAATTTGACATTTTCTATTCTTTTAATATATTTTAGTTAATTAAAATCCTACAAAGCGGATTGAATATCATCAAGCTGAGTATCTAAAACACCGGATATTTGGTTAGTTGAAACATAAATTAAAAAAAAAAAAAGAACCGATCCAATAGAGTGGAGGAGTTCACAAGAATCACAAAAATTCAAGATACAATCTTCTTCAGATCTGGGAGCTGGTATTTACTGTAGACAGTCAACATTATGATCAGCAAAGATAAGTGCCAGAGAGGAGACAGACGTAAGACGTGATTAGTTTTCAATGGTCCTCAAAAGGTAAGCACTAACCTTTGTTCTTATGAATTTAAACAATTAGTACTTAAAGTGGGTTTTGACCAGCTTCCTGGCACAAAACATGAGTAAATTAAACGGTTCGAAACAAGACACGTCTCGTTTTGACGGAGGATATTTGGCGATTTATGTCATTGTTTGTGTTAGGCGACCCAATTTTGTGGATATATTAAAGTAAATACTTATTATTTATAAATTGGCAAATTATTCATTAGATTTGCTATATTTTAGTCGTCATTTTGATTTAGTATATGTTTTGACATAGTCCAAAATTTAGATATTTTAAATGATTTATAGGAAAACAAATGATTAAATACACTTTTCTCTGTTCCAAATTTAATGTTGTTTTAGACTATCTTTTTATTTAAAATAAATATCACTTTATGATTTCAATCAAACAATTTGATATGAACGTATCTATTTTAGTCAAACATAATTGTATGAGAAAATATAAAATATAATAAAGTCCAAGAGTCAACTATTTTTTAAGGGATATCTATATTAAATTTTATTTTGTTCCTTTACCTCGAAGTTAAAAGTACTCATCCAAAATGGAACAAAACACAATTCCAAATTTTGAAAGTTAGAATATCCACTTTGATCCATATGGTACATAGTGTATATACATATTATAATATAAGTTTATAATGATTTTTTGTTTCATTTTTAGTACCTTTGAAATACATAAAAATAGCTTAAAAAAACACTAATAATTAATGTCCCTAATAACGATAGATGGGTCATATTTTTATAACCCTACTGACGGTTGAATTAGTTCTTTTTGAAATCGTAAATTGCTCTGGAATAATCAGCTGGTGTAGGATAAGTGATTCGACTATTAAACCAAAATATGTTTCAGTCGATGCTCTGTGAAAGCTTTTCTCTATCAACCGTCTCTCACTAGTCGTGTTCATATCATAATAACATGGACGGAATGGTTGTTAGGAGAATTTGTTCTTCGACAAACTCTCTGACTTTCAAGTTATAATGTGATAAAATGATGTCAAAGAATAAATGTGGTGACTAAGTTATGGGTCACGATACTTTTACGACAAGACGCGTTCGACCTACGCGCGGGTCGTTTTTCTCTCTCAAAAGTAGATCTAGGTTTAGCTTTTTTCTCTTTGCTTTGGCGGCTCTCTCCTTCGTCGGCAGCTTTTGCCGGTGTCGTGAGAGGGCCTCCTCCTTCAAATCTTCAGTGCCGGTCTTCGGGGTTGGTTGGTGAAACGGTGGTGGACTTCTCTTCTTCTCCGGCGGTGTGTGGTGTGGTAGATCCGGGTTTCGATGCACTTTGGCGGCGGATTTCACGACGGTCATGCGAGGGGTCCTCCGATTTTTGCTGGTTGAGGACTACGGCAGAAGAGGAGGGTATCTTCTTGCGGCTCGGCGGTTCGTGGTGATGCTCCAATGTGCGGCGGAAGTTGGAATCCGGATCGGTGGGTTCACTGCTAGGGAAGTGATTAACGGTGGATCCATTTGGATCCTAGATGGCTACGCACGGATTCTCGGCGGTTGATGGTTTGTCGGAGCCAACAACTATCTCCGCTCCCGTGTTTTTGGCTTTCGCTTCTCCGGATCTGAAGTTGAGTTGTCTAGGGAGAGGTTCAAGGTGGTGGTGTCGGAGGTGAGGGTTCGTTGATCGGTTCTCTTGTCTTGCTTGGTGAGGAGGTAAGAGATGGGGTCTCGGATTTTGGCGGATCTGCCTTTTCCGAGAGGAAAATTTCGGGTTTTGCTTGCTCTCGATGTTCGCTTGCTCTCGATGTTCGCTTGAGGTGGGATTCGCTAGCTCCAACCAAAGGTGCGGTGTCGTTAGTGTAGCAGCAAAGAAGTCGTCCTCGTTAGCGTCGGATCTAGTTGGTAGTTCGCTTTTCCGGTGTACCGCTCGGCACAGATCTCGTTTCCAGTGGTTCCGTTTTTGGGCTTTTTTCTTTTTGTGCCCGTGTAGCCGATTAGGCCCGTTAGGCCAAAGCCCAGTTTATGGGATGATTAATAAATAATTCTATTTAAAAAAAAAAAAAAAAAAAAAAAAAAAAAAAGTTATGGGTCACAACTTTCTCTTTTGTAAGAGGGTGGGCTCATCCACTCTAGAGAATGCCTAACTTCCCATCTTCATTGAGATTGAGGGAGGTATATATATTCTATAGATGTGATCGAAGAACGGGTTGGTACCGTTGTGTTGGCTATTCCTAGCAATATACGGGATAGGGAACTGAGCGTTTTGTATTTTCGACTTGACTAGGTTACTTTTTTCAGTCCAATATAATTGTTTTGATGGGTTGGCTTCGTCGTCAAAACATGAATCCACGACGAACAAATCTGACTCCTTGAAGCACTTAAACATCTGGTAAAAAAAAAAGCACTGACACATCAAAAAAATCTATAGACAAATACCCAACATACAATTAAATCTGCATCAAAAGATCTATAAAAACAACTTTACCCTCAAAATATAGAACCACGGGGAACTTACATTCACATGCTGATACAAGATTGGAATCACTCCCTTTAGATCACTTGATGATCAAGAGATTCCAAGCTTTTCACGCGGAAGGTGGGATGATGAAGGTGGTGATCTGACACGATGGCGGTCGCTTCTCTCGTGTGGGATCGATTCAAGGGGAATTGATGGATAGAAGGGTGATTGACTCGCTCAATCAGTGGGGTAATCGACTCACTCGATCAATGAACGAATGAAGGATGTTGAATCACTCAACAAACTTAATCCGCAGAATCCTGAAGTACTTAGTGACTCACTCACAAAGAACTACAGAACAATGGCAAAGACTCAAACTTTGACAAGAAGAAAACGTTTCTATTACTTTAATATGATCAAGGGTGATTTACAATGAGACTAATGATCAGCTTATATATGCTGAGTACAAACGTTCTAAATGCTAAACAAAGAAACAAATCGCAACATTAAAAGAAAATATGGTCGTTGGTCCAAATAAGGCAAGTGAGGTGTGCCTTATATCTTGTCAACTTGGGGAGGAAGTTGTGACGTCTTGGAAGCTTCTTGATGCTCTGGAATATCTTAAGTGGACGCTCAAACAAAGGGGAAAGATCCATGGGACATTGATGACAATCGGGTCCAAATATGGTAAGTAGAGCTCAGAATTGATCCGCTTGATCAAATGTTGTGTGGTGTATCTTAGAGCGTGTAATGAAGCCTCTAAGTGATCTAGATACTCTCCAGGTCGCCAAATAAAGCTTTGAGGCACGTCCAAGTATAGAATAAGGAAGATTTCCTTATATGGCTTCATTTGGTGCGGTACTTCAGAAAGTAGTTCAGCGAGTAGTTCAGCAAGTAGTGCAGCCGGTCTGTCAGCAAGTACATCAGCTATATGTACTTGTAACATCTTCGAATCAATTTCTTGGTAAATGATTCCTTGATGACTTGATGTTGCCTCGTTTAAAAACCTTTCTAGGTAAACCCATTGGGACAAACCCTAGATAAGGGAAAAAGAGTGCAACGGTCAAATTTCCCCAACATGGTGATTCGGCTCGCTGGTCTTTGATTCCTCCTGAACTATCGTTTGTCTTCTTAGGATTAATTTGCTGGTGAATAATTAACCCTAGGCCTTGTGCTTGATTATGACTCCATTTGGGCAAGAATCCTCCAAAATGCTCCATATCAACCGGTTGATACATGTACCGGTTGGTTTGGTTTGGTATACTCCCGGTTTGGTTGATTTGGATGTCCGCATCATACCCTCTCCCTTGAAAAAGTTTTCGACCTCGAAACTATACAATCTGCACCAAGAGAAAGCAAGTTAGCTTTCATTCGATTTTGGAGGCTAGGGTCTTACCTTGGTAGGGTGGCGGTTTGATGGTGCATGGTGCATCAGGTGGATCTCCTTTGAGCAAGAAAGATAGGATCACTCCTCTGTTTTGATCTGGTGCTTTGAGTTGTCGTGTTGCTTGCTGAAATCCTTCTCGGGTTTGGGCTTGAGCTTTAAAATCCGGCGGTTCCTCTTTGATTAAGCAAGAGTTTGAAACTCTTCTAGTCTCCATGATAGAGGGTGTTAGCATCAATGGTGCTGGTTCACTTTGGTTTTGAATTTGGTCGTTGACTTTCCTCACTTCCGGTGAATCACCTTTATGTTCCATGTGTTCTTTGTTGGTACCTGCAAGTTCATCAAACACTTTGGGCAAGAAACAAGTGCATTAAAACAGTCATGGGATGAATATAAACAAGTAAACCAATTTTGGATTGAACCATTTCTTTTCCACAAAGTGATTCAGAAAGTATGTCACAAAGTAGATCAGCTACTTGATATGTCCTAAGACAAGAAATTAGTTCCATAGATTTATTTAAAAGATCTACTATTTTCTCACACTCTTTAAGGATTAACAATTTTATTATCACATCATTCGAATCGCTAGAAACAATTAGAAGTAATAGTTTACTTACCTGACTTAGATCCTCGCTGAGTGTATCTTTCGAAATCAACTTGGTTTGTTGATTTGATGGCTGGTCCGGTGGTTCTTCTTGCAGCAGGATGTTGCTGGTAACAATTTCATTCTCTTTAGTGACAGATTCGCATATCAAAAGCTCTTGATATTGCTGCACAACATCATTCGTTGTTGATCCCTCTTTTGGATCCACATGTGTCTCCTTATTACCTACATGTGTCTCAACACTTTTGGCACAAGACAAGTGTATTAAGGCAGTCAAGGGACGTTCATGAACATAATGAAATAAGTTACTTTGAACCTTTTCATGTGTTAGACCAGAATCAACTTCTTGTTTGCTTTGATCCGAGAGTAACCGTAACATTGTTGTGGCTTCTCTTTGATCTTCGCAAATCTTCATGGTACCTGTACTTTCACTGGCACTCAAAGACAAGATCAAGTGCATTATACTTGAAATTGAAATGATATGGATAGGGTTCTTGAAAGTCCTTCCGAATATAAGATAATGCCAATATCGAACAAGATAATAAGTTTCGCTTACTTGTGTACCATGTAAGGTGTTCGGTATCAATGCAACCTTGATGTGGATGATCTTAGAAGCAAGATCAGCTGGTGTTGAACAGGGCTGTATTATCACACGTCCTTTGAGGGCTGCTTGATCATACGTCTTATTTCGGCAAACTTGTGTTGATGTTGTTGTTTCCGAAAGTTGTTCCTCAAAACTTATGATATTCTCAACTTCCT